GGAAGGGAAAAATTTGGTTTTCCCCAAATGGAAGGTAAGCAATGACTCTTGCAAATACTATTTTCTTAAAACTGGAGTACCACAGTAGTGCAAAGTAAGAATTAAACGTAGTTGTTTAATTAAACTAATATTTATTGGCAGCCTGTTAGAGGTCAAGCCACTGTCTGGATACAGGGTAGGGGTGGGAGAATCAGACTAAACACATAAGTGAAAAGAAAATGTCATCCCCTTAGGAAGGACACAGTAGCAATAAGCACTTGAGGATGTGCTAAGTGTTTTTCTGGATAGGAGCTCATTGGTACAAGAGATGGAAGTGGTCTGGAAAGTAGATGAGGTACTGGACCGAGGACCAGAAGAGAGAGAGGTTCTAGTCTCAACTCTATCATTGGCTCAGTGTCTATGGACAAATGGGCCAAAAAAGTACCCCTCCCACAAGACTGCAGGACTCATTAGAAACAACCGGAGGAAAATTCAGTGTTCTGGCTCCTAGTCCAGTGATCTTTCCAAAATATTGCACATGTATTTTATGTATAAAATGCACACATAAAGAGAGAAAAGGAAAAGAAAACCTTTTGACTTCAAGTCATTTGCCGAGAAAGGGAAGAAGAAAAGAGAAGGAGATTCAGGAAAATGTAGGAGGAAAATGAAAAGTTTAAGTTGTGACATCAAGATATAAATAAACTGGAGGCCCGATGCCTGAAATTCATGCAAGGGGCTTGGCCCTTGTAGCCTGTGGCCCCGCCCACTGGGCATTCTGGAAGGTAGTCCACTGTCCAGTCTAATTAGCACATTAGCTCTTTATTACATAGGATTACGCTTTAATTGGTTGAGCAGACAACTGGATGACAGGATGACCAGACACTTAGTATATTAGGCCTTTATTACATAGGATAAGGAGTGTCAACACATTATATAGGCAATGTAAAGTTTCTTGTATTCTCATCCAAATCATGGCTTAGGATTTTTAAAAATATATATTTTTATTTATTTCAGAGAGGAAGGAAGAGGGAGAGATAGAAACATCAATGATGAGAGAGAACTATGGATCAGCTGCTTCCTGCATGACCTCCACTGGGGATCGAGCCCACAACCCGGGCATGCGCCCATGACCCGAATCCAACCCGGGACACTCCAGTCTACAGGCCAACACCCTATTCACTGAGCCAAACCAGCCAGGTTTATAATTTTTTTTTTAAAATCTAAAACCATTCAGGGCAAATGAAGAGAAGGTCCAAAATGATATAAAGGAATGAAGCTTGATGAAAAAGAGATAACAGAGAAGAAAAGGGGTTGGGAGCATATAATAAAATCATTCAAATATATAAAACCCCTCTAAGAAGACAATGGGGACCCACTGTGTCCCAAAGAAGTGGCATTATACTCTACACTCGTATGTTGAACAAAGGGTTAAACACTGGAATGGCTGACTAAGGTTTGGTTCATTCTAGAAATTACTAAAATGAAGAAGGGACGATCCTACATACACCCCTGAATGCAGAGTAATGAACTATCAGTGGGTTCCAACTAAATTACTGGATTAGAATCACCTGCACACCTTGAAAAAGACAGATTCTCAGACCCACTGTACCAGGATCTCTGGGCGCTGAGTCCAACTATCACCCCCGCTGGTTTAGATGCCGCAGGGACAGGCAGCTTTGTCCCATCACCGCGGACAGGGCAAGGAGGAGGACCACGAGGAATGGCACCAGAGAATGGGAACTAGATTGATGCAAATTCTGTGGGTGAAATAAAATGTCTGTGGGTATGGTATTTTTAAAATGTACTGCAAGGCTGTCCTGAAGCATACAAACAGATCCCACTGAATTTAAACATATCCCACTGCATTTAAACATGTCTGAAGGTTCCAAGGTCAGCCACTGCCATTCAGGTGGACCAGAAGTTACCCCTCCACGCCACGGGAAGGCTACAGAAGCGGCAACAAAGAGGGACGGGTGCAGAAGAGGCGGGCAACTATTTTTAAAAATCAAAACATTGGGAAACAAAACTAAACGTAATCATTCTCCTTCCTTCCCCATCCCTCCCCACCCCCCACCCCAAAGGAAAGAACAGAAAAGGAAAATAGTTTCATCTCCATCTGAAAAAGAAAACAAACACAATTTTGCTCTTGGAGATATTTTTTTAAAGCAGAAGATGCATGCAGCTGAGAAATGGTCTGGGCGGGCAGCAAAACCAGGGAGTCGCTTCACATTGCAGAGCAAAAGAAAACACGGAGCAAGGGGTGGTCTTGGGTAGCTGTTTAGACAATCAGACAGATGGGTTGACAGCTCCTTGCCCGATGTTTAAATTAACAGCTGGCCACCAGCCAGCTATAGGGACACTCCACAGTCTGGAAGGGTGTGTTAGAACTGGTACCTTGGCAAAACACAATGGTTAACAGGAGATGAAGAAGGGTCTAGAAAGCGTCACCGCCACACTCGGAAAAGAGCTAAGGTTTTTATCAAGAAACGGGTTTTTTTAATCTCTTCTTGTTGTGGGTGAGCATCTGTGGAACACTGGCCTAAAGATCAAACTATCTAACTCTTGTCCTCTGAGCTAACTAACACTCAATGTGTCCACCGAAAAGTTAGGTAATAAGAGCCATACCTCCTATCAAGGCTGAAGTGAAAGAGAGGACATCTGCCAGGCCAGAGTGGCTCGGTTGGTTGAGCCAGCACCGAAAGGTTGTCGGTTCTATTTCCTGTCAGGGCACATACCTGAGTTGCAGGTTAGATCCCTGGTCCAGGCAACGAGGGGGCACCTCATCGATGTTTCTCTCTCACATTGAGAGCTCTCTTGCCTCTCTCTCCCTTCTCTCTCTCTCTCTCTCTCTCTCTCTCTCTCTCTCTCTCTCTCTCTCTCTCTCTAATTAAAAAACCCCAAACACCTAAAAATAAAAAGACATCTTTCTATGTACTGACGTCCTAGAATGAGAGGAGCCTTGTGTGTCAGGATAGTTCTAGTTTTGATTTACCACTTAACACTTAATTTTGCAAACCGCTCTGCAATCATATTTCTCCCTCCCTTCCAGTCTCTAAAGTAGGTTACTTCTTCAGTTCTGTTTCATAGGTGAGGAGACTACTAGTCATGACAATGAAGTTATTTACCTAAAACAAGTTAATGGTAGACCAAAGATTGTAACCCTCCCACCAGCCTGTTGTTTCTATTCCTCTCTGGTCTAAATCCACACTTACACGAAAACTCTCGCCCAGAGAAAAAGGGAGGGCAAAAATACCATTGTGTGCGTTCGGTTCAATAATCCCAAAACAACAGGTTTGCTTTATCATCTCACAGGCTCCTCGTCCACTCCTGACATTGAGAGCGGTCTGGAATTTGAACTTTCCAAAAAGGATCTGGCTGGTGCTGAACAAGCCAGCACTGTGATAACCTCGTTCTCTTTAAACATCTGTGATTGGCATGTCGAGTGCCTGTTAACAATGAACAAAGAGCAAATTTTTCTGAACCTCATCATCTGCTTAACCTTTTCTTTGCAAAGATCCACAATAGCTCAGGTATCCGTTTTTTTTTTTTTTTTTTTGGGGGGGGGGAGAGGGGTTATTTTGTTTTGGTTTAGTTTTTTTTGGTCAAGGTAGGAGATTCCTTCACATTAGGCTACTTTTAGTTCCACAAACACACACAAAGCCACCTTCCTACTGGAAGCAAGAGTTCAGAAAAAGGAAAACACAGCCCTGCCCCGAAAGGGCGTTATGAGTACCTCCTGGCTGCCATGGGTTAAATATACATTCTCTTTTAATGAATCCTTCCAGCTGGGTAATTTAATTCCCATTTTATGAGAGCTGCATTTGAACCCAGGATGACAGAGGTAGGCTCCAAAGCCCAAGCTCTTTCCCCTAATACAGTCTGAATGTAAAAAAAAAAAAAAAAAAAAAAAAAAAAATTGGAATTTGAGATCTTGGGTGAGTGAGGTGTAAAAAAAGAAAAAATGATTCGACTTCCTTTCCTTGGTCCAACCGTGTTCAGAAAGACTGTTGCAAACATCCCTCCAGAGGCTCCCTACCTAAAGGTAGCACTCTGCATTACCGGCTCCCCTTTCCTCACCTTCCCGGGCCCCACCCCCACCCAACCTGCCAAAAGAGCAGCCAGCCGGCTGGGCTGCCAGGCTGGTGGAGTTGGTGATCGTCACACCGCATTCCTGGGGCTGGACACAGGCTCTGAACCAGCGCGCCCGGGCTCCGCGCCTCGCCTCGGAGAGAATAAACAGCAGTTGAGATTTTTAAATCATGTGGCCCCAGCATGCGGCCACACCAGTTTTCCTGCTGCTCTTAAGCCTCCCTCCACCTCTCAGAGATTCCGGCACAGCACACCCGATCCCACCGCGACCGAGGATTCGGGGTGTCAGGACCCGGGTGGGCGCACCCCAGCACAAACCAGGGCCCCATCCAAACCCACCCCCACCCCCCGGGACGGTGTGCCTCCCCCCTTGGGTAGGGAAGGTGAGAGCCGTGGGGCTGGGAGGCCCTGCACACACACACACACACACACACACACACACACACACACACAGCACACACACGCACACCCGCCCCTCCAGGCCAGGACCTGGCATTCCTGCGCACGGCCCCTCCGCGCTCCGCGGCGGCGGCGAAGGTTTGTCACCAGCAGCCCAGCCCGCCCTCGGTTCCCCTTCCACCCCAGGAAACGCGGAACCAAAAAGGGCAAGACGGTGCCCAACACCCCGAACTCCATGCTGAGAAAGGGAGTTTCTGAGACCGGCTCCCCGGCCGGGGAGGAGGAGGCGTGTGTGTGCGCGGAGCCACCCGCCGAGGGGCGCGGGCGGCGGCGGGGAGCGCGGGGGAGGGGACGCGCCCAGGATGTCCAAACTTTCGGGAACCCAGGGTGGCCTCCCTCCGATCGAACGATCAGACCACAAAGCCTGGCCCTTCTCACACAGAAGGGGCCGGAAGGGGTTCCCCTGCCCCCAAGGTAGCCGGTCGGGGCGGGGACCTCGGCGTGGGGGGCAGCAGCCCCGGCCGGATACTCACCACGCGCGGAGCCCGCGCGGCACAGCCAGAGCGCCAGCAGCACCCACAGCCGAGCCGGCCGCAGGGCGGGCATCTTCCCGATCGCCTCCTCCTCCTGCGCCGCCGCCGCCGCCGCCGCCGGGGCAGATCCACATGAGGAGGGGGGTCCCGATCGAGGAGCCCCCCTACTCTCTCCTCCCTCTTCCTGCTTCTGCCGATCGCAGCCCCGCGCTGCACCGCGAAACGCAGGCTCCACTCCCTACAGCACCCCCTCCCTCAGTCAGTCGTTCCCGTTCCCGGGCCCTCGCCGCCTCAGCCGCCGCCGCCCGAAAGTTTGGCTGCAACTTTCCGCGCTGTGCAGCGAAGCGGCCTCGTGTGTCCTTCCGCCTCGGCCGCCGCCTCCGCCCACCTTAGGCCCCACCCCCGCCGCCGCGGCACCCGGGCAGGGGTTTCCCGCAGGAAGAAGCGCCGGCCGGGCCGCGCGGAGGGATCTTCCGGGAGCCCCCCAGGCACGCCGGCCGCCCCCGGTCCGCGGCGCCGACCCGCGCGCCCCGGCAGCCAGCGCCCTGGGCACGGGAGCGCCCGCCGAGCCCGGCCTCTGCCCGGGGCGGACGCTGCGCCGCACACACAAGGGCTTCGGAGACCTTGAACTTGCAGGGATGGCCAGGCCTCAGCCAGAGAGCTAGGTACCGTCCCCAAACCCACACGGCCGCGCACACACTCCCGGGGGCTCCCTGAGGGAAGGCGGTCGAGGACCCGTGCTGTCAAGGAAATGGGGGGTAGGGTGCCGAAGCCCATTTAAAATTCACGCACTCATTCATTCACTCATTCATTCATTCATTCATTCACTCATTCACTCATTCATTCACTCATTCACTCACTCATTCATTCATTCACTCATTCATTCATTCACTCACTCATTTACTCATTCATTCATCCACTCATTCATTCATTCATTCATTCACTCCCTCGTGCGTTGGCGCGGCGCAGTGGGATGCACTAAAGATGCCCGTAGCACAAGCTGCTTCAGAGCGCCCAGGTTTTGCGGGTGACGGACGGTTGCGCGACTCAGGGCAGACTCTCCTGAAGGAGCTAGATTGCGGGCAGGATCTTAAAAGGTCAGTCACATGTGTAAGGACCAGGAGACCAGCTAGGGATGTGCCATATACGGTTGTTTATAATAGCCCCTCATTAGGAACAACCCAAAGGCGCGCCCATGGAAGAACGAGGGCATATGTATTTATCAAACGAAACGCCACACACCAATGGAGAAGACTGAGTTCACATATGTCACTGGGGATAAATCTTAAAAGTCAAGATGGTAGTGAAGAAAACTCATGGCAGAAGGAGATATAAAGTATCTCACACACACACACACACACACACACACACACATATATATATATATATATATATATATATATATATATATATATATATATATGAGTTTTTTCATAACAACACAAAATAGTACTTATGGGTGCAGACCACCCAGTATATAGTAAAGCAATAGAACCAGAATACTGGCTACTTGCTGATCAGGAGAGTGGGGGATGTGATCAGGCATGGGTACTAGTGGGCTTGTTATTTGTAAGAAAAGGGCTGAAAGCAACAGACACAAAAATTTGTGTGAGCGCAGCATTCCAGGGAGCGCCTCCATGAGAGTGAGGGGAGCAGCAGGTGACTTCCGGCACTGTTACCGGGGACAGGCGTCAAGGAGGGGAAGGGGTTTGGGACCAGATCACGCAGGACTTTGAATGGCCGGTTACAGACGGGGAGGGCTGCCCCAGCCAGGTGGGTCAGTTGGTTGCAGTGTGTCCACACCCCAAAAAAGTGATGGTTTAACTCCCAGTCAGAGCACATCCCTAGATTGCGGGTTCCATCCAGGTTGGAGCGCGTATGGGAGGCAACCGATTGATGTTTTTCTCTCTCTTCCTCCCTCCATCTTTCTCTCCTTCTTCCCCCTACCCCCTTTCTCCCTCTCTCAAATCAATAAATATATCTTCAGGTGAGGATTTAAAAAAATGTTAAAGGAAGGTTGCTCTGTACAAAATTATCTGGAACAGAAGGTGAGCTTTTGTCCACCAAGGGCCAGTCAGGGGGCTGTGAAACAGTCCAGGCAGATGTAAGAGGATGAAGGCCTGAGTGAATGAGGTAGATGTCAAATGAAAAGAAAGGGATAGATATGAGACAATCTTGAAAAAGAAAAAAAAGGGGGGGGGGTGAGGAGAGTCAGGCAGAGGGAGACTGACCACTCTGTGTGACCAATGAGATGTGGAGGTTTATGATCCTGTTGGGAAGGGAAATCCTATTCACCGAGCCTTTCCCTGGCTCCTACAGGATAAAGCGCACACTTCTAAAGGGGACAGAGACCAGGCTTTTTCTTCACCGAGTCCCCTAGCCTGTCCTCTCTGCCCCATTGTGAACGCTATACAATAACAGTATTGAATGACTCGAGATTCCCCCCAAACGTGTCTTCTTGATTCTGTCTCTGTACCTTCTGTTCCCTGGACTTGGAATGATTCTTGTAGTTCCCTTCCCTCCTGCTCTTGGTGAACTTCTAATTATTCACCCTTCAGTCCTGAGAAGGCTTTGCCGACACTGTAACCAATTCCTCCCCCTCACAGACAGCCCCTCCACTGTACTGCTCCTTTATCTTCCGCTGTGTCTGTTTTTCACACAGGGCTGTTTGTATTTCCATCGTTTCCACTAGATTAGGAGGTCCTTATGGACAAGGACCATGGCCTTATTCATTCCTAGTGTCTGTCGCATAATAGATGGACTAGAATGTGAAGCGACACGAAACAAGTACAAGTTAGTATGATCGCAGGCCTGTGAGATTCCCAGCCGGATGTCAATAAGCACTTTATAATGGAACAGCAAGTGCTATTTACTAAAAGTACTCATCCTGGGATGCTAGAAACTTTTTTCAAAAAATAACATAGCCAGATTGTTTTTGGAATTTCCCTTGTGCAAATATGTTCAGAGAAAGATAACAACATTACTTTTTATTGGCTGATTCATAGAGTTATCAGTTTGATCATTCTGTTTACTTCCTAAATACAGTTCATAATAACTTGGCTGTACACAAATTTTAAAAATCACCTGCACATAGTAGATTTATCACTATTAAAATACATTCAAAAGGCTGAAACCAGTTTAGCTCAGTGGATAGAGCATCGGCCTGTGGACTGAAGGGTCCCAAGTTCGATTCCGGTCAAGGACATGTACCTTGGTTGCGGGCACTTCCCCGGTAGGGGGTGTGCAAAAGGCAGCTGATCGATGTTTCTCTCTCATCGACGTTTCTAGCTCTCTATCCCTCTTCCTTCCTCTCTATAAAAAATCAATAAAATATATTTTTTAAAAAATACATTCAAAAGAATGTAAATATAATTATCCTCAAAGAGCAGTTCCAGAAAGACTGTGGCTATGACATTACTGGGACAAGAGGGTCACAGTTTCCCAAGGTGATTGTTTTAAGGAACACTAGTATCACCGTTAACGTACAACCTTTGTGGATCTATTATAATTAAACTTATTGCATACATTCTCATAACGACAAGAGGAATACAGAGTAATTGTTACAGTGAAAGCAGAGGCTGTAACTGAAAAGGTGTTTTTAAAGACATGTTTTGAAAGAAGTTATGGGTATAAATGGCAAAACACAAAACAGTAGAAGGTAGCTGAAAATCAAGAGAAGAAATTGGAATCGGCACAGACTGAGAGTTGAGAATAAGTTCATCCAACCCATCCACCGGTATTGGGATGATTATTTACCACAGGCCATATCCGGTATGAAGACTAGAGCGATAAAGAGACAGGTGTGTCAGCCGAGGGCCTGTGAGTCCTGCCCCAGCCCAGGGGTGGTCAGGGAAGGTTTCCAGGGCAACTGGAACAGCTGGACTAAGAACTGGAAGACGAAAAGATGAACCGGGTAAAGAAGCAAAGGAGGTGTCTCGTGTCTAGTGATCGAAGCTGTCCCACGCAAGGGAGCAAGTCTAGAGGCAGGTGAACAGTAGAGCCCAGAGCCGGGCCCCTAAAGTAGGAAGATAAGGACTTAAGCAGGGGCTGTGGGAACGCAGAAAAGGTGTGCATTGCTCCCTAAGACTACGAATGGCTTCAATAAGAGAGGAAAGCCCGATCAAGGGAATTAGCCATGACTTCAATATCTTGAGGCATGATGGGCATAGGAAACACAGAGAAAGGAAAAGAAGTTAGATAGATTAGATAAGCAGGCAAGATAAGACATCTGTGTAGCCGGAAGCAGGGAATCTGTCTTGCTGATGGCTCGAGGGAGAGCTGGGAGTAGTGGGACTGATCAAAAGGATGGACTTGTACTGAAATATGCTTCTGTCGTTGGCCTCTCTCCAAATTCCATGCTGTGCATTTAGGTGACCATTTCTCCCTTTCCCTGATCCCGATCTGAAGCCATAGGGTCTTATGGCGATGTCTCAAAACTCAACAGCAGCTGAGGGCCTGAAATGCCAGGAGCTGCCTGGAGATATGAGCCCCGAATGTACTCGGCTGTTTCGTTGCTCTACTGGATTGGGAATGGTCTTCCCTAAGAACAGTGTTCCTCGTCAAAGCAAGTCCTACTTTGCAGGAGAAGTCAGCAGGAAAATATTTAGGTGATCCTATAAGCTAATCATAGGTATTGCCATTCCTTAAATTCCATAGCTTCACTGATACAAAGAAAAATGGGATCTGACAAACTTTCAACTGGGGAAAAAAAAGGTCTGTGTCCAAGTTCAAATTAAAATGTACAGACCATTATCAGTAGAAAAACATGAATAAGGGCCACCACTAGTTTTCATTTTGGTCAAAACTAAAAATGCACACATGTCTCGATTAATTAAAACTCACAGGTAAAATTGCCTCTCAACACCAGAAATGCAGAATTGGGCACCTTGTTGTTTTCATGTCTGTTCTCTCAGATCCATTGGGCTGTAAAACCCCCCCAAGGGCAGGATCCTGGGTTATTTGTCTACTAGAGACCCAGTGCAGGAGATTTGTATACTGAGGGGAAGGGGTCCCTCAGGCCAGCCTGTACTCTCTCACAGTCTGGGAGCCCTTGGAGAATATCTGACTGATGAC